ATTTGTTTATAAAAGAGCAATTAGTTTTCAAAAGAGCTACCTGCCCATTTAAAGAAAGCAAAAAATTAAAACTTGGTTGAATTAGCGGAAAGAGCACAAAGATATCTTGAATCAAACAATCACAACTTGCCAGAAATTAGAATACATGCAGCAATTTCAAGCAAATTACAACATACTGTTCCTGACCAAAGTAAGAATAAAATGAAAACTGAAATAAATTGTTTTTTATCAAAGGTTTTAACCTTTGATAAGTCAATCAAAGGTTTTAATCAACGACCTTTTCACAATAATGATAAGGATCCAAGGTATAGTCGATCACAATATACGCATATAACATCAGCAGTGATACAAAATTATCAAAAAGCGAGGAACAAGGGTCTCAAGTTGAACTTGAATCGTTGAAGAAAGACGGGCGTATAACCATGGGTAATAAATTCATTCCTGTTCTAAATGTGAAATCCCCTCTACCAATCTTGAAAACATGCCTATGGTAACAGCTTTTAATTATTTCTACCTTGCATCCAAAGGTAGTTTTTCGGATAGTAAGAAGCAATGCTAATTCAGCAGTGTCCTGGTCTTTCCTCTCGATGTGACCACATCTCGTGATTCCTACGCCTGAAATTACAGTGAGCTGACGACTCTCCCCACTCTGGATGAATGTTTGGTCATGTCGGGGACTCGAACCACGGACCCTTGGGTCTGTAGTCAGCGCCTCTAATAGCTCAGCCATCCTCGCACCTAAATGGATGGGGTAACTGGATTTGTTGGTGCGACGGGAGTCAAAACGTTGAGAGATACTGGATGTAGTACAGAAATCATTAGAGAAGACTTGGTGCCTGAGAATCCAAAATTGAATGAAAACTATCACACTTAAGTGAATAAGACTAAGTGACTATCATTTCGGCAAATAGTTCAGCATTATTCATTCCAGTGGCCATTATTGATATTAATACGCCATATCTATCGGGTAAAATTCGCTCGTTATACATGGAGATTCCAGTCTACGATTTGATTGTTGGAAATGTTGATTGGGCTATAAATGCAAATGACCCTGATTCAAACTGGAAAAACGACATCTGTTCAGTAACTACATGAGCTCAAGTGAACAAGGCGCGAAGGAAACCACTCATCTGAAAGTATCGGAAACAACGGAAGCTGTTGTTATTAATAGAGACAAAATCATAGAGCTTCAGAGAAAAGATCTCTCATTTGAAAAGATTATGAGTAGAAAAGAATCGAAAAACAAGCAAGGACTAACTAAAAAGTTTGAAATGAAGATGGATGTTTTTACAGAGTTTGCAATAAAGGTGGTGATAAGAAAACGAGCCAGATAATGGTACAAGAGTTTTTGAGAGATCAAGTAATATCGCAGGACTCAATCACAGAAGAGGTATAACTAGAAGGGTCACTTAGCGTTTTTGAGTGAAGCCTAAATTTACTGGCGCATGCGTTTTTTACATGCTAATTCTCGGTATGAAAACGAGAATAAGCATGCAAACTAGCTTCGTGAAAGTTAATTGTGCATTGGAAAATATTTCTCTTCCTACCACAATTGATACAATAATGTTGTCCTCGACAAAGGAAACTCCAAACTGGCTGGGAACGTCCATAAGAGCGGTAGTACTCGGCAAGTAATTTCTACAAGAATGCTTTCCAGTGCTGAGTTGTCATCGGCCCTTCGGATGGAGTTTCGTGAATAAAGAGTCGGGTCATGTCTTACCTCACGTCGAATTTATTTAGCAGTCTGAAGTATCTGATAAGAGAACTTAGATAAAGATTTCGAATTGCAAAATCTATTCAGCTCCCTCTAAGTTGTTCTCCAATTTCATGCCTAGTAGATCTGTAAAAACAGCAGACGATCTGTCTCGTAGCAGCCAGCATCTTCGAAAAACCTGCTCTGATCTTTGAAAAGTCATTTTTGCAAAATATTGTTAGAAAATTGACAAGAAATACCAGTTTCTTTGCCTTTCATCTTTCTGATGGTGCACCCTCTCCCTTGACAAGACTTGTATAATCTCGAGTTGAAATCAACACATTCGGATATTATCTTTACGATAGAGAAAAACATTTGTGCGAGTGCAAGCTATATCGATCAAAAAAAAATTATGCACTATAAAAAAACTCTCTATTCAAAACGAGGCTATAACAAAATTGAGTCAGGGGGTCTAAACTATAATTCAGTACACTCCTCCATATCAAGGGTTTTCACTCTTGATTTAATAACTGTGCATGTACTTTCAATAACTCTTCAGCTGCAAAGGCTGCTACTCTTCTTGGCTTTACTTCTTTTGCCTGAACTTGCTCTTCCTGAGTATATAGCTCTTCTACTTGTGCTTTTATCTCTAAGGGGCATATTCCTTGAAGTGGTCTTTCCAATACAATCTTCTGCCCTTGAGACACCGCATCTAATTTTACTGCTCGAACTACACCATATCTTTCTTTTATGCAACTGGAGATTTTGGCTAACTTCTAGAAACATCGTTCAATGGTAGTGTCTATGATCAATACCAAAGTTCCAAGCTCTGGTAATCCTTCTCCTCTTTTAGTCGTGCAATGATATTCGCGAAGACCTATAAGATAATCCTTTGACCATCTATTCCATACATGCTCTAGTTTAGCTCTCAAGAACTTCATTCTCTTGTTCACGTTCCTGTCATCAAAATCTGTATCGTTGTCATGCTTGACATCCCCTATCATTGCTAGTCAATGACCATGAATCATATGATTTTGAGTGAGGGGCTTTTCCTCTAAATCTGATTATTGATAGGTAAGTTATCGATTATTTATCATTCCTTCAACTTCTTTAAACATGTTTTCCAGCTCTCTAAAGGTTAATTTTGCATTTCCCATGGTCTTGAATAAAGCTGTCTTGGTTATTCCAACAAATCTTTCAAAGAAGCCGCCTTGCCACGGTGCCTTAGCTAGATTGAAATGCAAATCAATGCGGTTGGCCAACAAAAAGATCCTGCAATTCTTGCTCTACACAAATCTTCTTCAAGTGCTTTGCAGTGGCAAGGAATGTCTTTGCATTGTCACTTATTACTGCAGCAGGTGTCTGCTAATGAATCTTTAAAACGTCCCTCTAAATTCATTGGCTGTCATATCTACTGTGAGTTCTAAGTGTACTGCACGGGTTATGCCACGGCTGTCAGACCACAGAACTAACTATTTTGGCTTCCAGGTCTTTAAAGTTTCTCTGACCGTTTTCAACAAACATGCTGCGATCCCTGCTGCTGTTGGTTTCAACCAGGGTATTGTCATATTTTTCCTTATCGGAGGTTATATTGTCTTTGTAGTAACAAGGTGTGCACCTGATTGGTTTTCATTGTGCCATACAAGGTATACAGCAGTGCAGTATGCAGCCTTTGCTTGCATCACCGAAAAAAATGAAGTGAAATCTTCCTTGGTCCACCGATTGCTAGCATAATGCATCGCGGAATCATGCGTTCAGTCAACCTTGAAACAGCCTGCATCCATTTTTTCCATCTCATTTCAATCTCTGGGCTTACTGGCTTATTGCAATTCTTGTTTTCCTTGCAGATATCTTAGAATATCAGTTTTTCAGTAACTGCAACTGGGCCCACAATACCCAGTGGGTCATATACCTTTGACAGTCTGCTTAGGACTTCTCTCTTCGTCACTTTACCAGTCTTCGCATCTAGCACTGCCTCCATCCTAATTCCTAGTGTGTCCTCTTCTGAATTTCATTTTAATCTCAAAATTTTATTTTATGAATATTTGATACCTAGACTTTCCTTTGCATACGTCACTGTAGTTGAATTTTTTTCATCACTGTTCTCCTCTATGTGCTTTCTAACATCCACATAGTTCGTCTTCCACTTATGGAGTTGGAAACCTCCTTTTCTCATAATCTCTGTAATCTTATCTTTCAACTCTATGGCTTGCGTACAGTCAGCAGCTCCACTCACAAGGTCATCACAATACATGTTTGGATAGAGACATTTTGGACAACTGCTGGTTCTTCTTCTTCGTACTTCTTGAGGTGCCTTTACAATGTTGCATTTTAACAAATATGGACTTGGACAACTTTCAAAAATTACTTCAGTAAACCTGTACTCTTTAAGCACATGTTCCTCATTTGTGACATCTTCCACTTGCAGGAATCTCATACTGTCTCTGTCCTTCTCATAAACTAAGATCTGATGAAACGCACTCTTTATATCACCAACAAGCGCCACTGGAAACATCAGGAACCTCAACAGCACATCATATAGCATAGGTAACAACTATCTTCCTGTATATAAACTATTGTCCCCTTTTCTTTCTTTTGCTGACCCGTCGTACCCAACTCGGACTTTTTTGCTCTCCGCATTCTCACAGTAAGAGGCAAGTTAAAAACGAAGACAAAGTAAAAGTAAGAGATAAGTTAAAAACGTACCACGTTAACCTTCTTAAAGAAATACATTTATATCGATAACATTAACAAGTTACATAAGAAAGTATGTGAAAGTTTTGTTAATGAAGTAGCGATGTCAATGAAGATACAAGAGATGATGAACTGTTTGAATAAAATGAATTCATAACAATGGTGTCAGACCATCAGCCTTTGAATTCCACGTGCTTAGAAACTTTAGAACCGCCATTTTGATGACTCATTCCATTTTTAATTAGCAATAACTCGTTATCGGCTAGTCTGATATGGTTTATTCTTTTTGCTCCTGTTACAGTGCCAAACAAGATGCTTGGAGCGATTTTTCAAAAAAGAGAATTAAAAATTTTAATGACCGGGGAAAATGATGTCACCATTTTTGTATTGTACCCAATTGTACCCAAGGCTTAAAATATTCAGCAAGGCAGAAAATACCCAAATAAAGAGCAAAAACTAAGGTAAGGTTAGGCACTTTGCTCGATTGTTTGCTCGATTGACATCCGAGCAGCCAATTTAGAGTATTTACTTCCATTTCATACAAACCAAGAGTTTATGAAAGATATTAAAAAAATGCTACATCTTGGGATAAGTTCTTAGCAAAGAATACTTGCAAGTGAAAGTCACAGGTAAAATGCCAATAAAGGCAAAATGCCTTTCGGAATGGTTAACAGTTGAGCAACTTTATAACGTGGACTTCAGAAGGTACTGAGTGACATCGACAAAGTTGTCTTTAATTGGCATGATATTCTTGTGGATACAAAACTTTGGAAGAACATATGAAGACACTCGGTGAGCTATTCAAGACACTAACAGACGCTCATCTCACGGTCAGACCAAGTAAGTGTATTTTGGGAACTGACAATGTAGACTTCATTGGTGGTCGTCTGACTGAAGGCTTGAAAGGACTCCGTGAGGAAATACTGGAAAAACCAGACCCTGTGACGCTTGGACCTCTATGATCCATAGGAGCATTAACAACGAAGAACAAAAAGGACCCTTAACTACTACGGATTTGCCCATTCCCCAGAGCCTTGTCTTTTAACATATGACGCACACACCGACTCTAATGGACTAGACACAATAACAAAAGGACAAAAACACTATTGACGCAAACATAGAAAGTCACTTTAATTAGCTGATCAAACAAGAGAAGCAAAACAGGTTGCTTAACATTCATTATCCTTCAAAAAAGGACAGTGCATGAGAAATGAGAGATGAGGAGAGATTTTTGATTTTACCTGCAAAGCGTTACAGACTGATCACATACCCTTAAAGGCAATCTTTCACGACGTTGATTGATTATAAGAACACAGGGATTTTTATTGTTTCCAGTCCCCCTTTAATTTATCGCATTGTAAAAAATATGGCAGAGCGCTGGAATTGTGTTTAGGCTTTTGTTTCAGCTATTGTTCTCGTTAACCAATCCACAACGATACAGATTGCCTTTAAACTATCCTGGTTCAGCTAGGTTTAATAATTCTTGTATAATGATATGAGCATTGTTCCTTCAGAATTTTGACATGAGACTGAAACCCGTCAAAGGATCGTACAATGTGGGTCAGATCAAATTGAATAATTGTAAACATCGTAAAATAAGGCGAAAAATGGAGTTCTGGACAGACTGTTTATTCTTTTGTGTCATCGTTCCAAATGTTGAAACATAAGGTCTCCATAATTAATGTGGCAATAAATCTGTTTGTTTCAGGTTGCATTCCGCTTATTTTTGACTAGCAACTTGTACAAATACTTTTGCAAATTCATGAACAGCTGGGTTTTTTTTCTAGAGAACATTGAAAAAATAAGTTTCATTTACTCACAGAAAACATATAACCGTGAAATCAAATAGATTAAGTGTTTATGTAAAATACAGGAAATATTCTTAATGAGTTTCGTCATCCTAGAAAATATTTTTTGGGTTGACATGTGATAACCCAACCTAGGCAAACTTAACCTACAAGAAACTGCAAAAATATCCAAATTCCGAGATATAACCTTGAATATTTGAGAAAAGGCTTACACTATTCAGCTCTTACTGCGTGGAACAGCATCCCTACCTCAATCAGATAACTGCCAACACTCCAGCAGTTCAAAAGAAAATTAAAATCATACTTCAAGAGCTAAAGTTTAATCAAAACACGACTTCCTGGAAGAGCATGAAATAGGCATTAACGATTCATTGTATTAAGGTTGAATAATTGATCTATATAGATAGCTCTTTGATATGCAGAAGGGATTTTTGTGTATAAATGATTTAAATTGTATGTATTAAATGTATTATATGAATATGAACTACTCAATGTTGGAGCAAGAACAGGCATCAAAATTTTAAGAACTAAGATTTACGAACCCTCAATACTAGAACTTTGATATACTTTGAACTTATTCACTGTTTTGTTAGGTTTGTCAGGGTGAATCATTTGGAAGTGAAATATCGCACAGACAGGGTCAGATCGCAGACTGGGCCCGACAGTAGACTGGGCCTGATAGTAGACTGGGCCCGATAGCAGATTGGCCATGTTCATAGACTGTCTTAAACAAGTCTTAAAGAAATTGGGATTCTTGTCGGTTCTAAAATTAGATTGCTCATGAAAAGAACTTTGGCAATAGTTCTTTGGCGGATCAACATATCATCATCACCATAGATATCATCTAATTCTTGTCTGTTTCATGCAATTGGTTATATCTTTGGTTTTCAGCCTTGAGTTACATCAGGCAAACAGCTAGAAAAACAGTTTCCAATTTCAATATTAACATGCTGATTTGGTTAATACAAAATAAAATCTAAATTACTTTTTTTTCTTAGGTTAGTGTTTATCTACAAAAAAACAAACTTTACACCCAAAAATCATTGCGATAACACATCTCACTTACCACAGCTCTCTCCAGTGCGGCCTTAGAAACAGAAGCATTTTCCAAATTCTTTATCATCGCCTTCCGAAATCTTTTCCTCGTCTTTTTTCGATGCCAGACACAGTCCCTTGTTCTTGCAATCAAGATCAGTGTCGCATTGTCCACTACCACCTAAATAGAGCCCCATATGATAAAACTCGTAAGATCGACCAAGAAATCAAACAATAAGCACAGTGAAATCCCACTATTGGCAACTGGGCCTTGCTTATTGGAAACTTCCAAATATCAAGAGACGGCCCATTTGATTCTGATAGAGTTCTTTTGTAGATAAGCTCTACAGAAGAAAAAAAACTTGCATTGGATAGCTGTTCCGAAACACTAAACAGATTGTCCCCTAGAAGCACACCGACGAAGCTTTTGAATAAAAAGTGTTTTATCAGCTGAAAAGCATATTCATCTTCAATTTCACAAATTAAACTTTCTTCTCAAGTGCGCAGCAATGTGGCAGGAATAGCCTCCTAAATTTTTAGCACTGATAAGATTGCTTTTGTGCGCAATTGCAAACTTGGAGAATGGGAGGAGGGGTGATTTTCCTTTGCCTTTCATTACATAAATGGGTTTTTTTCAGATGAAAACTACAAGCCAAATGGTCCTTAAGTCGCAGAAACATATCTGATCCAGAAAAGTTTATTCATAAATTTTTCAGGTGCCTGGTACTCTAGAAACTAAGTTTGAAAAATCTTCTAGGTTAAAGAACGTAAATTTTTTTCCCGGGCAAAAGTATGGGGGTAGGTTTTTCTCCACAGCAACTTTGTTTTGGTTTGCAACATTCAAAAATCAAGCTCGAAATAGAGGCCGGTGATTGGCTAATGACATTTTGTGAACAAACCCGCTGATTGGTCTAGAACAAAATCTGCTCTTGTTGTTCCGCACTTAGAATAGCTGTTTTTCGTTTGCATATAAAACGCCACGAGTGTAATTGATCCACATCGAAGTAAGGGAGTAACTATTGTATATACAAACTTCATTCTGAAGATTGCCATTTTTAATTGGAATAAGCTAGCAGTTTGATGTCAAATTTAGGTGACTACCTCTACCAAAATAACATTGCTGTTCCTCACTCTTCCTCACTCTTCCTCACTCTTCCTCACTCTTCCTCACTCTTCCTCACTCTTCCTCACTCTTCCTCACTCTTCCTCACTCTTCCTCACTCTTCCTCACTCTTCCTCACTCTTCCTCACTCTTCCTCCCTCTTCCTCACTCTTCCTCACTCTTCCTCACTCTTCCTCACTCTTCCTCACTCTTCCTCACTCTTCCTCACTCTTCCTCACTCTTCCTCACTCTTCCTCACTCTTCCTCACTCTTTCTCACTCTTCCTCACTCTTCTCACTCTTCCTCACTCTTCCTCACTCTTCCTCACTCTTCCTCACTCTTCCTCACTCTTCCTCACTCTTCCTCACTCTTTCTCACTCTTCCTCACTCTTCCTCACTCTTCCTCACTCTTCCTCACTCTTCCTCACTCTTCCTCACTCTTCCTCACTCTTCCTCACTCTTCCTCACTCTTCCTCACTCTTCCTCACTCTTCCTCACTCTCATTTGGGATAGGTGTAATCGGAAAATATGGTTTTACTCTTCTAATGTATGGCAGACAAATAAAAACACGGAGTAACAAGTATTTGCAAATTTACAAACATTATAGTTTGAGGTTAGATTTTAACGATTTTCACTCTTCGCCAACATCAAAACAAATATCCATAAAGGGCCGATTTGTTGTCTTGTGACTTTTTACCTAAATTTAAGCGATTATAAAGTCAGGGGGTAGCTGTGGTGCATACAGAACTTCTTTCTACCTATGATTGCCACTTTCTGCTCACACAACACTGGAATTGACTTTACAAATTAGCTCCAGTCTGTTGGAATGAACACTGATAAATACTGCTCTAGAACTGAAAGATTTCTAGATATATCTATAAATATGTCTAGAACTGAAAGAAATACAAACAAACGGTTGAAACAAACAAAATGTTTTAATTAAGAAACAGTTTCAAACAAACAAATTAACTTTTTCCAGCCACAAAATTCTTAAGCAACTTTCGCTTTGAGCCTGACAATTTTCATGACAAGTTTGACGTCTTTGAGCATCTTTTTTTTCAAAACTGATCTTGTTTCATTGGAACATTAACGGTCCTTGTTAAGAAAGTATGGCACATGCCACATATGGTTGGAAGATGATGTGACGTGGACCGTTGATTCCAAGCAAATTAATGGTTGAGGTTAAGACCGAACGATAAGATAAAAATTAAGACTTATACATACTTTTTGAGTCTGTAGTTAATCCTTGGATTAGCAAAACCAGGCAAAAAAGAAGGCTGGTAAATATCACTTGCATGGCTGGTGATTTCTGCAGATAGATTTAAAGGGTTGATTCAATGAAATAAAGCGATTTAAAGGGTTCATTCAATGAAAAGGATAAGAGCTTTGTCCCATTGGTTAAATTGAATTTGATGCTCTTGAATTGAAAAATTATTATAACTATGCCGTAAAGAAAGAGAAAGCAGAAATTTCAACATTAAAAAGATTTGTCAGGGAAAGAACTTCTTACCTGATGTACAACCATGTGTTGTTTTGCACTCTAAAAACTGTTTGTTATGGGAGCAGTGAAACGTTTTAACACAGAACTATGTAACGTATCATTGCGAAATGATGTAAGGGTCATGTACTCATCAAAGGGGTAAATATTTACTCACTGGCTTAACACAATGGGGCAACTGACCCGTAGATATTCATGATTGACATCAATGTACGGTTACTTCTTTATCGCTAATCCTAAGTTAGAAATACACAAACTTGTCGAGGTGACAAGTCTAGACACCCGTGATTACAGGTATTATTTTGTCTGTTGTTCAAGCCAATGGACATGCGTCAGATGCACATGCACTTTTGGGCAAAGGCTAACAGAATCAATCAATTTTGTGAAAACATTTTTACACCATAATCGCATCATTTTAACATGAGGTTTTTTGTCATTCTTCTCTAAACACTCTTATCTCTTAATTTTGTTCGTCTTATGATTCTAGATAACTGTAACTACCTATTGAGGTAAGATAATTCCTACAATAACATAGACCATGTGACGTGAAAACAGCCGAAACGTTTTCAACTCCCCCGGCACGTCACCCGAACAAATACTAAGTTGTGAATCAAATGATGCCGATGAGAATTCAGGGTAAGTAGGAAAGGTTCCCGATCAGTGCCGCTGGCCCTTATTGCCACTGAAATTCAATATAAGGAAATCTGATAAATGCCAACTTTTTAAGATGAAGTGTTCCCTAAATCAACTTCGACACTGTCACATTTATTCACAGATAAATCTTACAATGAAATATTATGTAATTTGCTACGAACTATAAATGCAAGTTTCCAAAGTATATGCGAAATCGATGATAGAATTCGAAAAATGTTATTGAGCCGCAAAGATGTAAGCATAAATAAAAAAAACAGGAAAAGGGGTTAAATTAGCCAAGACCTCCTTATCCATCACAGAATTCCAGTATTGCATAAAAGATTTTCACTAGCAACCAAGTTGTAGCAACGAAACCCCGTTATGTACATACCGTACAGTAACGCGAAACTGGTCTGGGCAGATTGTTTGAATCATTAGAAAGCAGGTGGCATGCCGGCTGCTCGACCATGAAAAATTTTTGTTTGAAATAACTGAAACGTGCCTTCGTTCAAAATCATAATATTCATAAATATCTCATTTCCTAAATTCTATGTAAACTGTCCATGTTTCGTAAATCAGTGAACGTTGTGCTCTATTTTAAAGAAAATGCGGGAGATCAAGTAAGCATAAAAGAATAATCAATCACCATCATATTTTCCATAATAAAATGTACTAGTCATTTGCGTAATCTAAATTACTACCCAATTATAATCTGTTGCCTGGTGACATAACTTGTAGTGTAGTTGTAAGAGTGGATGCTTGTAATTGATCACTTTTCTTACAAAAGTTGTCCTTGTCTTTTCCTGCTAGCTGGTACTTTTACTGATCAAATTTCGACTTGAACCATGAACAAGAAAAATTAAATACCAAACTCTTGAAAAACTGAGAGTTTCACACCACCTTTGCCCTGCTCCCCCCGACACCCCATGCATTTTTCCCGACTGACTCAAGTTTTGAGAACCTCTTTAAGTTGTGATCGGGAGAAAGAGCCTAATGATTATCGACTTGCACATTTTTAAAAACTATATTTGAGATGAAAATATAAATCCTTTTGATGTCGTGTAGATATAAAGAATATATGGAGAAGTTATGAGAAAACGTTTACGATCAAAAGTTTGTAAGGAGTTTCTTACAGAAATTTGCTGAACCACTTGTGCAAGTTCTTGCTTTTCCCTCTTTAAATTAATGTACCCTAAGATACAGCTCCTTCTTAAAGAATATTGAATTTAAAGTGTGTTGGCAGACAGGTTATCTTGAGTATAAACTTGTTTTCAATGTCAATCATCTGGATGGATGAATTACCTTTCCTAAAAAATAAAGCTTTTTCTTGACGTCAACAAGATTCCAAGAGATGTTTTATCAACGAAAAATCAACAGAAGTGATCTCGTCAAATTTTTTCTCCACATCCAAAAAAGTAATTTCATTAGTAATGCTGTCCATCATCTAGTCAATGAGAAGGCGTAGTTATTTTCTTTCTCGATAAATTTTAGCGTTGTTATCTTTAAAAATCTTAAATGTGAAGAAAACAAAATCCTTTATCAGCATATTCTGGTCACTAATTTAAACAACTTGTGAGTTTGACGACACTCTTAGGACGAAATATGATTCCATTTTTCGAACTTTTTACACCTAAAACATTGGCTAAATTCCAATTTACTTATGCAGGTTTATTTTTTATTCCATACACCTCTTAATGTATACTAAGCTTACTTGCACGTCAGTTATTTTCAAAAGCAGAGTGAATTAGGGGCCAGTGATCCGTATAATTGTTTTGTATATTGGCGCCGCCAGTTTGTTATCATAAACACATAATAATTATATTTTGTAGTGCTCAAATGTTTTGAAATTAACATGAAACTTGAATCTCCAGTTTGACACGCATTTGCATCATGGGTAGAACAAAGAATAAGTAAGTGCGGTACAATTTGAAAATTATTCAGAATGTTAGGAAATAGCTGGCGATGCATTCGGCTATCGTGGCAGGATATTTTGCAACGAATCAGTCATAGCAGTAGATGGGATTAATCTCCTTGCAAAGTCAGTTATGATTGAAAAATGCAAGTAATTATATTTGCTTACAATCTATATTGATTTGTTTCCACTCTATTTATCGATAACAATATTTTGAGAACGTTGTAAATGGGCAACTCTACAAATTTACAATTATATTCAGACAAGGTGGCTAGATGCACCTCCTTGCATAGCAAGTAGAAAAAATCACCAAATGTTTCCTTGACTTTGACCAAAAAATGATTGTTTCCAACAATTAAAGGAATTTTTTAAAGATAAAGATTGCTGTTTGTTCAGTAAAGGAGAAATGAATTAAGGGAGAAATCAATCAATATTTAGAAGGTATTCAGCAATTTGTCTTCTATGCGCTCACTCTTTATTTCGCCAAAGTTCGAGATTGCCGGAGAGAAGAAACCTCACTCCTATTGCTCGAGACAATGATTGTTATAGCAAATCAACGTCAAGAGACCATGACAGATGCCTTTTCTATAATGTTCTCAACACTAAATCTTGAATTCTCGACCATCCTCGACGGTGGAAAACCAAGAAAGCGCAACGATATCCCGAAAAACCAGATAAATATTCCTATTCTTACAACTATGACAATTTTCCTCCTTTTTTAGGCAGATCATTCCTGTCAACCATCGACTGCAGTGCCTAACCTTTATTTTCTCGGCTGATTATGGAACTATATGGTGTAACGAATAATTTGAGCCCTTAAAACATTTTCAAAAATTCATCAAAGTCACATTACCGATGACGTCAAAAAAAATAATTTTTCCTAGACTCAAAACCAATGTAACTTCTCGAGTATTCCTCTGACTTCAATATAAACGCTAGATTCGGGCTTGCCTGAAGAAAATCTTTCTAATGATGTATACAAATCACTATTTTAAAGGTGTCAGCAATTTTGAATGATGACGTCATCACTTTCAAAATGGCCGTCGACCAGCGAACTGACTCTGATGAAATGGGGTGAAGTGGGGAAGGCAAAGATAAACCAAATTATGTGAACGAATGCTGGCTTGTATAGTCAGATCAAGGTGCTGATGGGTTGCTTTCATCAACTCATTGGTCGCCAACGTCTTTTCCAAAAAACACACACAGTAAATGCCCATAAGCAATGGCAGATTGATGCAAAAAACTGTTGATTCTTGGAAATCGTCAAAAAACTGAAATCTTGAAATCGCTAAGCTGGACGATTTGTCTGCTTTGTTGAACATGGTAGCAGCTGTGCAGAAAGCAACACTAAACTACTTTTGCAAGCAGTGCGAAATATGATTCTGCTTACATTTACATTAAATTACATCAACTATGCCCGCTACAGTACGTACCAACATCTGCTTCTTCATTGCACTTCAATCATTGCAGGGTGAACAAACTACAGCATTCTAAGATTGGAACAAATAAGGATATGGCGGAAATTTTAAACAAATTCTCTGCAATTCATTGCGATTTACATACAGAGCTATTTAATCAAGGAGCTAGAGGGACTGCAGGTCCATACAGGGACTTCAGGAAACTTTAATGCGGTTAACACTTGAATTGCTACGTCTCACATTCATATCAAGTTTAGAGACGCTCTGAAGCAACACTTTTTCGTAAAGTCATCATCAATTCACAAGTACAGCATTCCAGGTGGGACAAAGCTCCTTCAGAGGCATAATGATAGCCTTAGGGAGCTCTTCGAGGCTATGGCACCAATCGGTTTTCTGTTGCTCCTGTAAAATCGACTTTAACTGGTGAAGAATTAGATCAATTAAGTTCTACCGACCTCCTTGCAGCGTCGATCATAGGAGAAGAGAATATGCATCGCTTCGCAAATGATCGCCTGATTAATTGCAGCGTTGAATTCTTCACGTCGATCAAGAAAACAAAGCTGAAAACAAATCTGGAAAGATTAAGGTGACAAATGCAGCAATTACCGTGGTCAAGGAACACAAAAACAAGCCTTTAACTACTCGTTTCGAAGGCAGAAAGTCTGCAAGAAGCATTTACTCAGCCCATGGCAACCGTCCTCTTTCAATTGCTATCGCTACAGCTGGTAAACTTTGTTTAAGTCAGGCAAAGTAACTTTGCAACGATTTATACTTGAAGAGTGACACGTTTTTACAACACGTGTCAAAGTATTGATAACGTCACCATATGCGCAAGTCACAAGTACGGGAAATTGGTAATTTCCGCAATTTTGGGCCACTTTTATTGATACTATTGTGGAATATCCATGTTGACAAGATATGAGGCGTAAGTGGTTATATAATAATAATATATAATAATAAATAATTTGTTTAAAGTTGGCGTACTAAATGAACGGCTGATAGCTATAAAGAAGCTAATTAAGGCCAACTATCTATAAAGAGTTAGTATGAAATAAAAATATATGATACAATATTAAAAAGGTTTATGCAACGACTGAAATGGTATATGGCTAAAATGTTTATGCAGCGTTACAATATTAAAAAGGTTTATGGTAACAACAGCACATTTTGTTCTAAACCAATCAACGGGTTTGTTTACAAAATGTCATTAGCCAATCACCGGCCTCCATTTCGAGCTTGATTTTTGAATGTTTCAAACCAAAACACAGTTGCTGTGGAGAAAAACCTACCCCCATACTTTTGCCCGGGAAAAAAATTTACGTTCCTTAACCCAGAAGATTTTTCAAACTTATTTTCTAGAGTATTTTTTTCGTACAAATCTCGGAGCCCTAAGCAGAAACACAAACAGTGTCTAAAATATCTGCACTGAAACATCACCTATTTCCAACCAGAGACCTACCTCCAAAAATGCCCAGCCTCTAATTTACTTTATATGAAGCTTTCGTTAATTAAACAAAGAAACTTTCTAAGATTTAAGCTACCTGATAGATTGCGCAAGCAAATCACCCAGCTATCACCTGGGAATAATGTATTTTCTTAAAAAAACTAGGCTTTATAATTGCCTATTCCCTCCTCTACACTACCGCACGGGATTCCTCCTGAGCATCACAGTCAATGAAACTCAAACCATTTTTGTGAAGCCATTAGACATCAGTCTATAGTTTGAAGCCAAAAAGGCCAAAATATTGGCAATACTTTCAATTCAATTTTTTAGAGATATCATCTTTTTAAAAAGTAACAAAGACCCACTTTTCCTGGATAGTCTCAAAGCCTTGAAATCTTACTGATACCTGCTAAAAGGTTTTTAGAACAAGGCATGATAACTTTAGAAATATCTTTGCTAAATCACATTTAGTTGTTTGAGAACCAATATGATCAAATTAGCCTTGAATTAAAATTTATTCTTGTACCGATTTACTTCAGCGAGAATTGCCTCTGTAAATGAATTCTGTGGCTTTATGACCATAGTTCTAAATGATATTTCTGCTTTGTAAAAACGTTTCAGAACTGCTAGAGTGTTACCAAATGCTATGCTTGTTTTCTAATTGGTCGGTGACATCTATACATGCATGTATTTATCCCAACTGAAAGAAAACACTTTGAATTTCTCTTTTTTCAAAAACTATTTGTCTCAAAAAGGAGTAAACTTGTAAAAAATTTCTATGTTTTATGGGCCATATACACTGTACCTACAAGTACCTGTGCTTGCAATAAAATAAGCCTTTCTTTGCACAACCTGGTGAGATTTCTATGTAAGCTCACAGATACTTAACTTTATGCTTGGGTGTCTAAAACTGCTCATTTCCTTATGTTATGAAAAAATTGGTCAAATATCTTGGACCAAATTCAACGGAGACCATTGTGTGTATGTTACAAGAGAACTAAATCCATAAAGAATTTTTCGAAAGCCTCCAAGTCCATCTTTTTGAAAACCCATCTTTTCGAATATTTCGAAATTTCCAAGTCCATCAATTCATTGCGGCAATGTTCAATCCAGTGCACGGAAAACCAATGCTGCAGTTTTGTCAAAACCACACTTCATCTCCTTGAATGCAAACTCCCCTCACGAAAGTATCAGGACAGTTCAACAATCGATTTCCTTTTAGGACAAAGACAAATTCAGGCTGATGATAACGACTCTTTAATTTGATGATAATAATTTTTTGAGAAACCCTTACAAAATGAAACAAGTCATCAATCTGTTGCAAAACTTTTGCTCTTTTCATCTGTTATATATTTTTCTTAAAATAAGAAACCTTTGCGCTACTTACCTTACGCAAATCAACGGATGTCAAGTGTCAGGTGACTGGGATTCATTTTCGTTTCCTTCGCTACCAGCTTGACAAAAACCCTCACAACATTTACTTACACATGGATAAAATAATTTTTTTAGACAAATAAATAGTTCAAAGGCCAAAGAAACTTATAGAAAGATTCAAGGAAATTCAGAAAACAGTTTTGCAATCAAAAATCTATAAATTGTAAATTCGAAACTTTCCAGATACTTTCGTGAGAGGAGTGAGTTAACAAAATTTTCGCTATTGGCAGTAGCGTGCCTCAAATGCCTTGAAAGGACGTTCGGCTGAATATAGCTTTGAAACGACCAAAGGCTATAAAATGTATCACTTGCCACAAAATTCAAGGCCAATTTGATCATATTGGTTCTCAAACAACCAAATTTGACTTAGCAAAGATATTTCTAAAGTTATCATGCCTTGTTCTAAAAACCTTTTAGCAGGTATCAGTAAGGTTTTAAGGCTTTGAGACTGTCTAGAAAAAGTGGGTCTTTGTTACTTTTTAAAAAGATGATATCTCTCAAAAATTGAATTGAAAGTATTGCCAATATGTTGGCCTTTTTGGCATCAAACTATAGACTGATGTCTAATGGCTTCACAAAAGTGGTTTGAGTTTCATTGACTGTGATGCTCAGGAGGAATGTTCAGAAAGGGCCTAGGCATCCCGTGCGGTAGTGTAGAGGAGGGAATAGGCAATTATAAAACCTAATTTTTTTTAAAAAATACATTATTCCCAGGTGATAGCTGGGTGATTTGCTTGCGCAAACTATCAGGTAACTTAAATCTTAGAATGTTTCCTTGTTTAATTAACGAAAGCTTCATATAAAGTAAATTAGGGGCTGGGCATTTTTGGAGGTAGGTCTCTGGTGGGAAATAGGTGATGTTTCAGTTCAGATATTTTAGACACTGTTTGTGTTTCTGCTTAGGGCTCCGAGATTTGTACGAAAAAAATACTCTAGAAACTAAGTTTGAAAAATCTTCTGGGTTAAAGAACGTAAATTTTTTTCCCAGGCAAAAGTATGGGGGTAGGTTTTTCTCCACAGCAACTGTGTTTTGGTTTGAAACATTCAAAAATCAAGCTCGAAATGGAGGCCGGTGATTGGCTAATGACATTTTGTAAACAAACCCGTTGATTGGTCTAGAACAAAATGTGCTCTTGTTGTTTATGGTATAATGTTCTAAATAAAACCTAACCCAGCAATAAATTTTTTACACAATCTACAGTCGCATTCTATAGGGTGTGCTCTTAATTCTTTTTTAAATGTTGCCAATGATTGGGACTCTCTTATACTGTGAGGTAGTGTTTGCCACAGTTTCTGACCTAAATATCTCACAGTTTCTATACCATAAGAAGTTGTCCTGGCTTTTGGAATGCAAATATTATTTTTAGTTCGCAAATCATAATGTACATTTCTTGTTTCAAAAATCTCACTCATGAAACCAGGGTTATGATGTTACAGTGGATATATAAAGGGTTAAGGCATAGAGTAGCCCCTAATAGTTAAGTTAATCAATTACTTGACTTTCGTCTAGTTTGGCACGTTTTTTTTTTTCAAAGTTTTCAAGATTGAAATCTCCATCATTTGCAGGTTTAGATGAGCTACGCCAAAATTTTCATATTATTTGGAAAAGTCTTGCTAATGTATAAAGGTGTCTTAGTTCTGGCGGGTAGTTTCCACAAAATGAGAATTAAGCAGAAGATTCTACACAAGAGGAACGCCTGTTTGAGATTTCGTCATTGATTTTTCGATGCAAGAGTCATATCTGAAAGTTCTGTAGAAATGACAGGCATAACTATTGGCCCACGAGAAAGGTTCAAATTAAACAGGGACATAATGTCAAGTAACAAGATTTTCAATATGTGCGTGCACTTGTAACAAATACAAAGAAACAACAGACCAGGCAGACTCTGACCTAAGTAGCACTGAACTTTCTGATAAACTAGAGAGTGAACGAGAATTTTATAGCCTGCGTGCAGACTTGGAAATTTAAAAGAGGAGAGAAAGTAGAGTCTGCGCAACAGAGCTGCTTTTCTTGTTCACTGACATCAACATTTCATTCTAAGCACTAGAACACCAACTCCATTAGCGTGCAATGTTTTTCTGTAATTTAAGTTGTTCAAAAGAACAAACAGACCTATTCTATTAACC